TTATGCTCATGTTTAAGCTGGATCTTTTTATTGTCTTGGAAGAGTTCTTGATAAATTCTGGATGCCATATCCTTATCAAACACAAGTTATAAATATTTTTAATGTTGGACTGGAGAGATGGCTCAGAAATTAAGAGCGGTGGTTGCTTTTCCAAAGGACCAAGGATCAATTCCCAGCACACATGTAGAGGGTGACGCCTGTCTGTAACTCCACTTCCAGGGCATCAGCTGCCCCAGCTTGGTCTCCCTGGACACTGCACACATGTGGTGCAAAGATATATTTGCTGGAATGATACCCATATTCACAAAATAATAAAATGAAATTTAAGATAGTTTTCCATGTTTTATGACTTCTTTTCACTTTATTAGCAGTGTTCTGTCTGCATAAAAGTGTTTCAGCATTTATGTGTTAACTATGAGATTTTTTTTAATAACCACAGAATCATCACACTTTAAAAAAATCCAAGCTATATTTCCTTAGTATCTTCAAATACTTACATTTATATGAAAAGTTGCAATTGTTTAAACTAGCAGCTGCTTTTCCTGGCTTAGATTTCTTCTTCTTCTTCTTCTTCTTCTTCTTCTTCTTCTTCTTCTTCTTCTTCTTCTTCTTCTTCTTCTCCTCCTCCTCCTCCTCCTCCTCCTCCTCCTCNTTCTTCTTCTTCTTCTTCTTCTTCTTCTTCTTCTCCTCCTCCTCCTCCTCCTCCTCCTCCTCCTCCTCCTCCTCCTCCTCCTTCTCCTTCTTCTTCTTCTTCTCAAGGTCTCCCTGAGTTGCCCTGGCTGTCCTGGGACTTACTATGTAGATAGATTTGTCTTGAACTCACAGAGATTTACCTTCCTCTGCCTCTAGAGTGCTGGGATTAAAGGCGTGCACTACCATACATGACAAGTAAAACAAACATCCAAACCTTTAACAGCTACTTTTTAAAATTGATGTTCATATAAGTAACATCCATTGCAATCTCAATCTGCTGATGCGTGCTTAAAGGATTTTAAGTCTGTAGGTTTCTTTTCCATTATCTTTTCTTCCTCCCAAGCCATTTGTTTGTGAAGAAATTATTTGTCTAGACTGGAGTGGTGGTTCAGAGATTAAGAGCACTGGCTGTTCTTCCAGAGGTCCTGAGTTCAATCCCCATCAACCACATGGTGGCTCACAACCATCTGTAATGAGATCTGGTGCCCTCTTCTGGCCTGAAAGCATACATGCAGGCAGATATTGTACACACAATAAATAAATAAATAAATAAATAAATAAATAAATAAATAAATAGTTGTTGTTTTTTTGTTTTGTTTTGTTTTTAAAGAAACTATTTGTCTAAACAGGTTTCCTAGTCTAGGCTGCATCCTGTGTCCCTCAGTCCTCCAGTTTCCCATGAGGTAGGCGGTTGGGCACTCAAGATTGGGGCAGATTGACGTTTGTGGGGTTTGTTTGTTGTTTCAGCAGTGCTGACTCATAGACAGTTCTGCGTTCTCTTCTTATGAGACAAACGGTATTTATTTCTTACATTTTCGAGTTAGCTATCATGGATGATGGACTCCCAGTGTGTTAGTTTCCTAGGAGGTATAAAATAGTGACGTTCTAATTCCCTTCCACCTTTCTAATTGTCAGGTAGAATACTTATCTTTATGAATAGACATTTTCTACGTTTTGTTATTTAAGTATCCAGTATTAGAGTTATATAAGAGAGCCAGGATAGGGCTGGAGATGAGTCAGTAGGCATGAATACCTGCTGTGCAGGAGTGAGGACCCGAGTTCAGGTCTCCAGCGCTCACATAGGAACAGACTTGGAGAGCGGAAAGGTAAGGGTACCATTGGGCTGTCTTCTGGACGTGAGATTGCCCTTGCAATCACAAACACATAGTAGCCACAACTGCCCACAGGGAGTCTGAAAAGATAAGAAATAGGGGAGGAGGAAATGGACAGAACACAGGGGTAGGAGTGGGAATGGTTGTGAAGACAAATGGAGAGTAGAGAGAAGGTCGCTGGGGTGAGTGTAATCACAACGCAGTGTCTGTGGATATAAAATTAACTCTTTTATTAAAAGTTTGAGCAGCCTTGTGAGGAATCAGTTGATAAAGAGAAATAAATAATAGGGAAAACCCAGTTAGGCATGGCCGAGCACATATAATCGCAGTGGTGGGGGCGGGACAGAAAGGCTGATCCATTGGGCTTGCTGTCCCAGCCTAACAGAAGACCTGGGAGCTCCAGGTTCAGGGAGTGACCCTGTCTCTCAAGGGACAAGGCAAGAGCTACAGAGGAGCACACTCGTGTCCTCCTCCAGCCTCCACACACGCGCTTTGGCGTGTACTCCATCATGTGTACGCATACACGAACAACAATGCCAGGACAGCTCCTGGTTCTCACTTCACGAATCCGTTTGTCCTCTCAGGTCTGCCTTTTCTTCTAATTGAGCCAGTTTTCTCTTTGCGAGTGGCTTCATTATCACATCCTGTGTTTCTAGGCAACACCATTGCTTTGGTGCGATTATTCATTATACCAATTATCTTTTCTCTGACCACTGCAAGCTTGTCAAATTGACCCCTGAATCCTTGATGTGATTCTGTGGTCTTTGTGAGCTGCCTGGCTATAACATATGAAAGAAGTTTAGCTCTTCCTGATTGGAATGGAGTTTATTCTACACCTCTATATTTCACATTTCCCTACAATAGTTTCCTGTAAGCCTAGCTCTAGAAAAGATAACAAGAGTTTCCTATGAGAGCCAGCTTTGCTCCAACTGTCTTTCAGATCAGAGCAGGCTCTAGGAACTGTGGGTGAAATTCATTTTGTGTGTTTTTGTTTGTTTTCTTTTGAACTAGAGTCTCATGTAGCCCAAGCTGGCCCCAAACACATTGTGGAAGAATAGAGCTAACCTTGAATATCTGCTCTTCCTGCCTCCACCTCCCAATGTGGGGTTCACAGGTGGTATTGAGGGTCAACCCCAGGGCTTTGTACATGCTAGGCAAACACACTACATCTGAGCTGCATCCTCAGCACCATTTGTGAATTTTTTTTTGAGTCTACCAGGCATACAGAGAAAGAGGAACACAATTGCACAGTTTAATTTCTGCCTAAAGATTTTGCACCCAGTTGGGTAATATTTTTCCCCTTTTTCCTCTCTCTCTGTCTCTCTCTCTCTCTGTGTCTCTCTGTGTGTGTGTGTGTTCACATGCATGTCTGTGTGCTGTCTGTTTTGCATGTGTGTGCATGTGTGCATGTGTGTGCGTATGTGTGCATCTGTGCATGTGAAAGGAATACAGCTGATGTCAGATCATCCGGGATCTCTCTTAGACGTTATTCCCTGAGGCAGGATCTATCAGTCAAACACAGAGCTCACTGATGTGGCTGCTCTCACTAAGCAGCTCCATCTTCTGAGGCCAGATTTTCAGATGGGCAGCCAAAGGCATCCGTATCATATGGGTCCTGACTCCTGGGTCCACACACTCTTTCCAGTCAGATCTTTCACCTCTGAGCCCTCTCCCTGAGCTCCTGGAGGTGTCTTTTACAGAGCTAGTGACACAGAGCTGATACACACTTATGGGCTCTATTATGTTTCTGCTTTGTTTCTCTCTCTCCTATCAAATTGGGGATTGATTACTAATTATTCTAAATTATTTGTAATTAATTACGAAAGCAATGTTCTTCTAACTAAGAGGCTTTTGTTGAAGACTACGTAAAAGAGAAAGGATGAAATGGAGCTGCTTTTTCTAAACCTGGGAATGAATGGGAAAGCCCGGATTCCGGATTCTAGTCTGCAGCAATGCTTATCCTCTGCCCGTTTTATAAAGTTGCTGAGTGTGGTAATGAGTTTATATTTATAGACTGCTTGGAGCTTTTTGGATGAAAGGTGCTAAATTAGAGTTTATTGTTTATTGAGTTTATTTGATGTGTCCAACCTCCTGGGAACACTTACTGAAGTTAATTAAAACCAGATTGTCTGCCCTCTGACAGCTTACAGTGTCACATCTAAACCAATAACATAAACAGCCTGCACTAGCATTGGCCTAACCGGGACTTCCTTGAGGACCGTGGCTCTTTGGACAGAGAAAGGCTCCTGCTTTGTTGACACAGAGATGGCCTTAACTTCATCTGAGTTGTTGACCTGCCCCTATTTCATAAAAACAAGCAAAGAAGCAAGCCTTAGAATATGGAGAATGTTCCTTATTTCTGGCTATAAATTATTGCTCAAAATAATTTGGTCAGCCAGATGGGTTAGTACACTTGCCACCATGTCTGATGACCTGAGTTTGGTATCTATGACCTCCTTGGTAGAAGGAGACACTGACCCCCCTCAAGTGGTTCTATGTCTTACAGATATATGCATGCACACACATACATACTCATGTACACACACACACACATAAAGTATAAAAACTTTTTTTGCAGATTTTAATATACTTTAATCAAGACATTCTTAAATGTCAACACACCATGAGATGTGGCTTTTGTTCCAATGAAACAAGGCTCTCTATGCGTACTCAGTGTACAGTATCGATACATTCTCAGAAGAACAATCTAGCTGAGCTGCCTCTTCCATAATGTCATGTTGAATGTGGCATTTCGCTGTTATTCAAGTCCTTCATTAAGTTGGATAAAACAATTAACTATAAGCAAGTAAAAAAAATCGTTAAGTTTTCCAAGTTTATAAAGTTTATGTTAAGTTGTTTCTGAGTAAAAGGCTAGGAGGAGCAGGGGTTGGAAAGCTGTGCCTGGGGCGTTTTGGATGAGAAAAGATTATTTTCAAAAGAAAAGTCTCAATGTTCATTAACACTTCCTCAATCAGCAATATCAAAAGTAACCTTTGCTCTCTGTGATTTCACAAAAACTTAATAGAAAGGATGGTGATTTACATACTGTTTTATGATTACTACATTTTCATTGCAGGACTGGCATTCAGAAACTACAGACCAGAGGGCAGTGTGTGTGTGCTTTCTAAACCCAACTTAGTGAGGGAGTGAAACCAAGCATGATCGTAACACATGGCTCTTTCCTTCTCTTGCCAGTTGGTAATGGAGTTCTGTGGTGCTGGCTCCGTCACTGACCTGATCAAGAACACGAAGGGCAACACACTGAAAGAAGAGTGGATCGCATACATCTGCAGGGAGATCTTACGGGTAGGTGGCAAGTGGGCACTGCCTTCCCCAGTTCCCTCAGGTAACGTGGGATGACTTGGGAGATAGTCTACTCTGCTCAGTCTTGCTAGAAAAACTTCTAAGTGTGGTAGAAATGTATTTAATGGCTTTATTCTAACAGCTGGATGTGTACCCAGCCGCAGCCACTAACAGTCCCTACTGTGCGCATTCACTGTGTTCCCTTTTAAAGGTGGGCCTTGCTCACCCCACCCTGTTCTCCTTCCTCTTCTCTCTGCCACTTCTGCCACTAGAGGCCACTCTCCCTCTCCCCTCTCCCCTCTCCCTCTCCCCTCTCCCGTCCCTGTTTTTTCCATTCCCTTACATCTCCCTCCCCGCAATAAAAATCCCTCCCTGTCGCATGGTATCTTTGTCTCGCATGCCGTTTTTTAGGTCACAACATTCAGCATGCCTTTCGCTGACCAAACCATCTCCCCACCTCCATACTCCATACTTCTGAAAGCCAAAAGCTGTTATGACAAAAGATAGAAACGACAATGCATTGGGCACACAGGAGTTATTTGTGAAATAAAAATGAAAACACAATTTGGGAAGAAGCAAGCTTAGGCGACTGATTTCCACATTAGCTGAAAGTTCTCTCCACGGCTTTATCTGCCATTAACTCCATGTGAATTTCTATCTGCTGGCCCAGTCAGAGGAAGCATGAGACCTTTAGTAGTTGAGGCCACCCAGTGGGCACCAGAATCTATGAGTCCCCCAGGAACAGTGCGTCTCCCTGCCACCACGCCTGCCTGTCTTAGCCCTGTGGGAAAATCCAGCAGGAGACCAGCTGTTTGTTCCCAGGGATATGAAGGCAGCACAGATATTTACCCTAGACTTCTTAAATGCCTAAAAACAGCGTATTTCTTCCCCCCCTCCAGTACATCCTCCCATATGAGGTAAGCACCGGGGAAAGGAATGTTTGATCACCTGGGGTCCCTCGTCACAGTGTTTTTGGAGTTGATCAGCTATTCACTGCACAGACTTTTGCTCATGTGTATGCTAGGCTATAGCATCCCATCCACTCTGGTCCAGGATAAAGGGGGGTGGTCAGGCCTGCAAGTACTTGCATTTATGTGCTACAAAAGAAGGCATTTAAAGCTGAGCACTGCCTACTTAGAGACAAACTGACCAGATACAAAAGAAAATGTGCGGCCCAAACAGTGCCTCCCACCATCCAATCATACACTCGTAGGCTGTTTCTCCAACAAGAAGTCAGATCGTGTGTGCACGTGCGTGTACACACATGTGTGAGACTTGAGGACATGTGTGTACGTGTGAATGCATGCCTTATTGTTTATATAGTGATTGATTGTGGTATTATGAAGAACAAAAGAAAGGAAATTCATAATAGTGTAACGACACTTGGATGCCCGATAGCATGATGTCATAAGTACCAGATCAATGTCTTTTGATTATTGTTACAAAATCAGCAGTTTCAAAATTATCAATTTCTGAAGTGACATGATAGGTGACAACCAAGGAAGCAAATTATTTCCTTTTTGGATATATGTGTGTGCACGTTTGTGTCTGTGCGAGCTATAAGGCTACCTCAGCTGCTATTCCTCAGTGGCTGTCCTTATTGCTTTACTAGAGACAGGGTCTCTCACTGGCCTGGAAATCAACAACTTTGCTAGGCTGACTGTCAGGAAAGCACCGCCCCTCCCTCTGTTCCCCTCCAATGGCGATCCACCTAGCTCTGTCCCCCAGCATTGTGAGCCCCTACCCCTACTCCCCCCAAAAGTGACCACCTAGCTCAGCCTCCCCAACATTGTGAACTCCTCCCCACTCACCTCTCCCCCCCAGTGATCCACCTAACTCTGCCTCCTCAGCTTTGTGAACCCCTCCCCTTGACCGCCCCCCCAGCTATTTACCTAACTCTGCCTCCTCAGTATTGTGAGCCACTCCCCCTGCCCCCCCCCTGCTATTCACCTAGCTCTGCCTCCCCTGCATTGTGAGCACTGCCATTGGCTTGCCCCTTTGTCATCATGGCATCTAATGCAGTCCCCATTTCACAAGGCAAGGACCTGACTGACTGAGCTGTCTCTCCAGTCCATTTTTCTTTCCTAAAGCAGCCCACACTGAGAAAGCCCTTCACAGGCCCAAAACATGTTTCATTGTGATTAATTGAAATGGAAGATACCTTGTAAATTGAAATACCTTCCCAAAAGTTAAATTTGATGAAGTCAGGTTAGTTTTCTATGGAACCCGTTAATGTGCTCATTACAAATTAGCCCGCGCAGGCAGACTCATGTCCACAGCACCACGTGAACTGAGCTTCCAGCGGGTGTCATGCCATCATGAGTGTAGTTTTCTGTACCGGTATCAGATCTAGTGTGTTTTGTTTAGCCTGATGGTATGTGTGTGTTTCAGTCGGAACCAATTGTGTGCTTTGGTTGTATGCAGCAACATGCTTGTAGGAAAATGAGAACAGACTCTTTTAAGTATCACTGGACGAGTTACTTGAGGGTGATTGTTAGCATTCAAAAATGTGCTATGTTCTCTAAACTCTCTCTCCTCTCCTTCCGCCAGGGCCTGAGTCACCTGCACCAGCACAAAGTGATTCACCGAGATATTAAAGGGCAGAATGTCTTGCTGACTGAAAATGCAGAAGTTAAGCTAGGTACGCACAGCATCCCATGCGCCGTGGCCCTGCCGGAGTCCATCACCGTCAACAGTCCTTTTAGAACGTTAAATCTGTCACTGTGGACGTGGGGGCATTTCCCCCAAAAGGAAAGGAAAATGTTTTCTTTGCATACTCACAAAGCGTTTCCCCACTCATCCTGAAGAATGATTTGTGGGGTGATTGGAACCCTACGCTTAGACACCGTGTAGAGTACGTGGCGGGCCCCAACACGTCATATATCTCACAGTCTAAGTCCCTGCTGCTGTGACAGATGGGGTGGCTCCAGGTTTCGGCTGTTTTCTGTTGTTTTGTTTCATCAAAAATATTCACATCAAGTCCTGCTAACTTCCCTGGCCCTTGAGTTCTATTTAAATTCATTTTATAGTTCCCCATGGCATCTGGATAAAGGGGATTCTCAAGAGTCCATTTCCGGTGCACCCTGATCACCCCACTTCATCCTGCTGGAGTTGGTGATGGAGAAACCTTGTTCTTCAGCATGTCAGAACCTGTCCTAGTTCCATCTCTACCGCTGTGTCCTGAGTGAAAGGCAGCTTAGCAGAGGAAGGGCTGACATTTCCCCTGCTCTGCTTGGCTCGCATTTCCAGGGTACTACCCAGCGCTGGGGGAAAGGTCAGGCAGCGAGAACTTGATGCACATAGTCACACCGCACTCACAGTCAGGAGCAGTAAATGTACACACACACTTTCTCCACTTGGAGACAGCCCATGACCCAGATCGACAGAATGGAGCCACTCACAATGGGTTGGTCCTCCTGCAGACCAACCCCATCTAGACAAACTCTCAGAGACTCTCTTCCTGAGGTGGTTCTAGACTGAGCCAGGATGACAGCTAAAAGTATTCTAGAGTCCTTCACAAAATTTGCACTCGCTCTCATTTTATTATCTATCTATAAGGGGTTTGCTGGTCATAGGAGTATTTCCAAAGAGATATGAGCATTTGCCCTTCCCTTTTGTTAAAATATATAATTTCCCATTCTATTGGCAATTGGAGTCAAGCGTTCATCACATGAACACTCGCTTTTTGAAACAATAGCATACACGGTGCAGGCTAAACGGATGCATTCATAGAGACTAGGTGAAGTGCCTCGTGGGACTTCCTGATGCTATTAACAAGCACTTGTTACAAATATAATGTATGCCACATCTCTCAAGAGGCACTTTGATCATCTTCTGTAAACAGGGTCATTCCACATTGCCATCTTCATCTTTGCATTGTGGACTTGTAAAACCTAACACAGGGGTGATTTGCTTACTAGTCGCACTGCTAAACAGTGGCAGGAATGGTCTGGAAACTTGACGGACTGACACTAGCCCTTCGGTCTCAATTACAGTTTTGTGTTACCCTTTGTGAACCCCTGACTTTTGGGTCTCAATGGAGTCTTGGTATAATCAAATACAGCAATTCATGATTTCCTCGCTGGTGTATTTATCCACTTAACCATGCATTTTAAGGGTATATGTTCACAGTATAGAAATGATGGAAGGGACCAAATGCCCATTAAAAAGGAAGAAAACTGTAACATACGTTACAACCTGTGTAAGCTTTCAGGACATTGTATTAAGTGAAATAAGATGCGTTCTGTAGGATTCCACTCATTTATTGGAATAGCCAGTGTCCTAGAGACATGGGCAGGAGGAGGACTGGGTGAAGTGGGGTTCATAGGTTGTTATTGCTCAATGGCATAGAATCTCATTGGTGGAGGATGAAAATGTTCTGACGGATGAATGGTGATGATCTTAAGAGCTTTTCTGTCCCAGAAAATGTGCGTGAGAAGTGGTTCAAATCTATCCTAATCAGATTTCTATGGCTGTACTATCACACCATGACCGAAGGCATTTTAGGTAAGGCAAGGGTTAATTTCAGCCCACAAGTCTCAGGTCACAGTCCATCAGTGAGCAAAGTCAAAAGCAGGAACTCGAGGCCGGAGCTAGTAGACAGGAGCTGGAGCAGCAGCCATGGAGGAGAGCTGCACACTGACTTGCTCCGTGCTACCTGCTCAGTTTCCTTTCTTTTCTTCCCCTTGCCAGGGATGACTCCACCCACAATGGGCTAGGCCCTCCCACATCAACCATCTATCGCAAAAATGCCCTACGGATTTGCCTACATGCCACCTGACGGGGACATTTTCTCAATTGAGGTTCCTCTCCATATATTGTGCCAAGTTGACCAAATAAATCTATCTAAAATCCTAACTTTTTGTCAGATATATCTTACACATGAGGAATGCGTATCCATTTTATTCTCACATCCAGCCTGAGGTCCTAATCCAGTCAACTGTGCTCTCTTCAATAGTGGACTTCGGAGTGAGTGCCCAGCTTGACCGAACAGTGGGCAGGAGGAACACATTCATTGGGACCCCCTACTGGATGGCACCAGAAGTCATTGCCTGTGATGAGAACCCAGATGCCACGTATGATTTCAAGGTATGGTTTCTTCAGTGTGCTGTGAAGCCGTGTCTGAACCCTTGTCCAATTTTGCGAGGGATAACACGCACAGGCATTTGTGTTTGTGATTTATGTGACACAGTGGGAGAACTAGAAAACATTATTTGGACTAAGATTGTAAGACACACAAATAAGAATTGTTTAATGGACTCACCCATGATATTTGAGTAACCATTTATAAAATGATACTGAAATTATTTCCTATGCTTTTAAATTTGCTTTTCTATTTTATTCTTGGGAAATAGATAAGGTCTATGTTTGGGGTTATATTTTAGTTTTGGTAAAGAATATATTCTTATTACCCTTTTTCATCTATTAATTCTTTAGATTCATTTTTTTACTGATACATAAAAACATTCCAATTGTACATATGAAAGGAGTCCCATGTAATACTTTCATATGTGCACACAGGCACAATGTTGAAATCAGGATAAATACATTCATCTGCTAAAGAATCCTATTTTAATCTCAGAGGGCCCAACGTAGTTGCTCAGTTGGTAAAGTACATGCCTCACAAGCATAAAAACCCAAGTCAGTCTTCCAGAACCCACATAAAGAGCCAGCCATGGTGATGCAGGTTTGTAATCCTAGGCCAACCTAGCCGTACTGGAAAGGTCCAAACCAGTGACTGGCCCTATCACAAGAATCAAGGCTCCTGAAAAATGATACCCAAGATTGACTCCTGGCCTCCTCATGCACAAGCACCCAAGTGCAGCAGACATACACGCTCACTCACAAACATTTGAGAACTCTTTCTTCTAGCTTTTTGAACCTGGCAGCACACTATTGTAATTACACTTGCCTACCACACAATGGCACACAGGAAAGCCATGCTTTTAGCCAACTAGAGCACAGCACATGTTAAACCATAATATGAATATTGGGGGCATCTTCTTGTAGTTACAAGACATCAGGTTGTTTATTTCCACAGTGCTAGCCTTAGATACACAGACGTTTCCACTCTGTAGGAGAATAAAGAGGGATGTAGGATGCTTTGGTTTTCCTCTAGTATGGCATGGCATTTCACAGAAATCTGATGTATTCCTTGTTACTTTCATTATAGACTGAAAGCATGCCACTAACATTCAATATTCAGGCCACGTTCAGCAACTGTAGAGTTCTCAGGCCGTGCCCTAGGCAGAGACACTGTGTGGGCAAAAATGCAATACTATCTGGGATTGGTTTGGAAGTCTAAGGACTTTCCCTCAAGACCAGTAATGAGGGCAGCCCTTCACAGGTACACACCCAGTGGGTGATATTCTCTGAACTTGAGCTTGAACATGGGTCTCCCAACTCCTCATTTAGCTCTCTGTGGTCACTTGTCCCACCCTGCAAAGAAGAGTCTCGTGTGGTTTCGATGTGTCGTTTGTTATCTAGATTGGTTATCATTTGCTTTGTCTGATTTGCCTTCTAAAGTGGCTTTATTTTTCTTTAAAGTGTTAAATCATCGTCATAAGGGTTCTTTGGAAAAGAATCCTCAGGGCTCTTTGTTCCTGCAGTGTGGTCTTAGGAAATAGTTACTGGGTGCATATATTAATTTCATAGTTCCCATACCGAGAGTATATCTCAGGAATTTCTCTGTTAAAGTCCGCGTGCTTTTCCACATTTGGTTATGTTAAAATCAGGCGACAGCAATGCAGGCAGTACAGTCCTTGAGACCCAGTGTCTCTGAGCACTGGCAGAATCATTCACCTCTTTAGAGCAGTCTAAGCTTGGAAGTCTTGAAAACATAAAAATCCCCTCCTTCCTTCAAAGTTTGTCCCTCCGATAACCTGGCATCAGTCTGTCTGAGAGCAACTGCCACATTAAAAATTAATCCCCTGATAAAATAAATGTCACCTATTTAAACTGCTAATGTTCGGCACATTTAAATAGTCCTATCTGCAAATCTGCCAGAGAATCCGCTACAAAATTTATATCCCAGACGAGCTATGCAAATTTTAATTGGCTGTAAACAATTCTTCGGACTGTAGTTATGTGTGACAAGTGCTACCCAGGTCTACATCTATGCCACAAACCACTTTCAAAATATAGCAGGAATGAGCTGGAGGGGTGGCCCAGAGGCTAAGAGCACTTGTTACTCTTACAGATGATCTGAGGGTTCGAATCTGAGCACTGATGATCACAACCATCTATAACTCCAGTCCCAGGGGATCTGATGCCCTCTTCTGACCTTCAGTGGCACCATGTACATGCATGGTGCACAACACAATCACCATGTGCATGTGTGGTACACAGACACACTTGCAGAAAAATACCCAAATACATAAAATAAATAAATCTAAATTTTAAAATAAGACAAATTACACCAAGAAGAATCAGAGTGTCTAGATTTTCATTCCTGTCTTAATCTTTTAAGTGTCAGAGTGGGCCATATTATGTGCTGTGTGTATTCTCTGTAGCATGGAAACGACCCTAGTAACTGACTTGTTTTTAGGAGAGAAACTAGAATAGCTTTTCCTTTTGGCCAATCCAAAGCTTGGAATGAAGTTCAATCCTGGATGCTTTTATCAGACTATTGCTAAGAAATATTGTTTAGAACAGATGAGATTCCAATATGAAAAGAATATTTAAAAATCCATAATTTAAAAAAATAAACGCCCTCACAGAGGAAATAGGTTCAGCTGTGTCAGTCATATAGGCTGCAGTGTGAACTTGTCCATCCAGATTGTCATGCATGCAATTGTTCACAAGGAAGAAAACGCCATGCCTCGTGTATTAACTTTGCTGGTCGCCAGTCATGGGGAGAAGTGACTTGTCTGGCATGTGAATGAAGAACAGAAAGCAGAAAGGATTCTCGGGAATCGTAGGGATTTGTTTTGACTACTCTGTAATTCTACTCTGAACCAGAAAGGATGGGAGCCCTTAGAACCTGGCACTGTATCCTACCGTGTTTTCTGCTCAGAGTGCCCAGGAATGTGATCTGCCACCAGGAGATGAATTGACAACAAGCTGACTTTGAGAGTATTTTTTCAGTCACTCTATGTATGCTTACTGAACTCACACCGTGTGTGTGTGTGTGTGTGTGTGTGTGTGTGTGTGTGTGTGTGTGTGATTAGATGAGCTCTCTGCATAAGCCATTTCTTACTAGAGACCTATAAAATTCGAGGATTTGGTCTATGTAGGGAATAGTCCATTTGAGACAACAGGAGTCCTAGCCTTGGCAATGACCTCAACATGTTGGGCTCTCATGTAGGTTAAATGTCTGCTCCCAACATTTCAAGGTGCAGTGTATTGAATAAAAGATGCTTCGAATAGCACTAGGTTCTGTAAGCTTCACCAAGACAGCTCTGGCTTTAAAATGAAGGTGAAATGGAGACTAGAGTTTAGTTTTGTTGTGGGATTTATCATTTACTATTATTGATTATCATTTGATTTATTTTGAGTTGCTTTTAAAAACTGGTAGATGTTTCTATTTGCTCAATTCCTTTTTTAAAGATTTCTTTTTAATGATGTGTATACATGGGTATGTGGGTATGTGCACATAATTGCATATGCCTTTGGAGGCCAGAAGATGCTGCCAAATCCCTTGGAGCTAGAGTTATAGGTGGTTGTGAGCTAATAATATGGGTACTGAGCACTGAAGCCAGGTCGTCTAGAAAGCAGTTTATACTCATGACTACTGAGCCTCCTGAGCCATCTCTCCAGTCCCTGAAGTTTCTTATGAAAGCGAAAGTAGTTGACTAGCCTAAGGACCTTCGTGGAAAGGGAGTCTGTAGAGTTGGGGTTCTCACTGCAGTCTGGTTTTATGTGGAATCGATGTGTTCAGGGAGGAACCCACAGAATGGGAGGAGGAGAGACTGCATTGAATTTGCCTGGTGTGCTGGCTTTCTCCTGGGGGACCTTCCTTTCTTGTTTCCAGAAATTCTGTCAAAACACTTCAAGCAAAAGGAAAGATTTCATTCCCTGGTAAGTATGCAGGGCAGTAATGAAAGCTTTCCCATTTAATAATAAGCATTCAAAAGATTTGAAATTAATAAAGCTGTTCAAAATTCCTAGGCTGTTTAAACTGGTATTTTTAAAAGTTACTGTAAATTATATTTCAGTAGGATGGAATCTGACAGGTAACAGAGACATGTTGAAATAGGAGCGGTGGCGGGGCTGCGTCCCCAACACCCCGGCCGCTTGGCTAGCTCATGCCCGAAATAACAACACACAAACTGTATTCATTTAAAGAACTGCTTGGCCCATGAACTCTAGCCCTTACAGGCTAATTCTCACACCTGGACTAGCCCATTTCTAATGATGTGTGTAAGCACCCCAAGGTGCGCTTACCGGGAAGATTCTAGCCTAAGTCCATCGTGGGTTGCAGCTGCCTGGGAGAGCAGAGCATGGCGGCTGTCCGGTCCCTCTGGAAGCAGCGCAGAGTCTGACCTCACTTCCTCTTCCGCCCAGAATTCTATTCTGTTTACTCCTCCCATCTATGTTCTAACCTATCAGGGCCAGCCAAGTAGTTTCTTTTATTGCTCAGCCAATGAAATCAACAGATTGATATGACACTCCCACATCAGAGACACCCACTAAAGAAAGCTCTGTGTGGCCAGGCCCATACCCCTCGGAATCCGACAGAGTAAAGACCTAATTCTCTACCCAGGGGAATACTATGCACCGCATTAGCAATGAGGCATGAGAGCAGTGTGTGCTTGGTGCCCAAATGTGACGACCAAAGCATCTTCCTCTTACTCTTTCCTCACTCCCACTCGCCTGATGTACGCACTACACACGTGTATGAACACATACATGGACATGCATGCACATCTATGGTGTTGGAGGTATGTAATCTGCAAATAGCCTAGAAAGCATTGGGTCACATGGATGATGCATTCTTGATTCTTATTTTGCATGTCGTTCTGCCCTGTTTTGATGTTTATGTATCAATAGAATTTGCTCTTTTAATTGAGCTAGTGAGGTGATAAATGTCCAAGAAAGTGCCACATACACACACACACACACACACACACACACGCATCCCATGCTTC